TTTACCTACACAACTTTTATAGATGTAAATATAAAATAAATCAAGTTTCAAATGGAATAAATAGATTTTAAAACAGTTTTTCGATTTCCAAACTACAAACTGCTCGAAAAATATCTGCATATATATCTATTTAAAGAAAATATCAGAATCCTTAATAATACTTTTTAATTAAAATTCTTATAAATGTAATAATACCCTTTATTATTCTATTCATAGTTCTATTGACCCAACAAATCTCAGCTTCGAGTATTTTCGCAACAACAACAACAACAAAATCGACCCGCTAACACACATAGAACTGAACTTAAACTTGAGTATTACTTGGAAAATTTGTGCTTTTAGGAAAGTAAATAAGCGCGTGGAATGCTAGAGTCATAATGCAAGTCTATATAGTATATATGCGAAGCTATTTGTAGGGATTTCGCAATACCATATACATAAGTTTGACGACGTTTTAGCCATTTTTAAACAATTAGTGTCAATCGCTTGGCAAACTCAAAATATGCAAATACGCGTCTGGACAATACTTTTATTTATATAGTCGCCGGATAGGGTGAACGTCGCCCTTCTCTCACCTCTCACCCCTCGCACTGATGTCGAAAGTTGATTATATTGAAAGACCAATGGAATGCTTCCTAAGCCCAGGCAAATGGCAGCAATCAAAAGGCTCAAATTGTATATCATTTTGATACCCTGTAGCTATTAATAGGGTTAGCTGGGTAGCTGGAGACTTGTGTATGTCAGTTTTAAAAATGTACCTAAGGTTTGTTAAAGAGAATTATATTTCTTTATCCTTCGATGCCTGTATCTGTGCAAGTCCATTGATCTCAGGGAGTATTACATTCTTCTTGTAGCTTTTCTTTTATTATACGAATGTCAAATCCCTTATTAATTTTAAAGCATAGACAGATTAATAAAGAATCTCAATGCTTATCCAACGGGTCAAAGTTTCAAAGGCTTTTTTTTTCAATTTTTTATGCTCAATTTAGCAACATTCTACACAAAAATCTGATTGGAAATACCTTGGGTAGACTTAGTACACATGCACTCATCTATCTTATCTTGGCATGCAGCTAATTTCATAGTAATTTCATAATAATCATGAAAGTTATTAAAGTAAACGCTGCAAATGTTTTTACAGAGTACTAAGAAGAAATGAATGCTTAGCTTTGCAGTCTTTGGCAAGTATCTCAACTCAATTCTCAAACAATACGATATATGATGATATGTATAATATAGTAGTATAGTATATCGACCAATATGAATATAATTCTATGTGATGATATATTATATTTGATATTGTAATCTGCCAGACCGTAGAAGGCGTCAATTTTAGAGGATTTCTTCAGCTTGCCTAAGTACAGGGTATTTCAGAGTCTATGGCTTCACACTTGAGCTCACTAAGTACTTGTTATTTTTTAACGAATCAAAGTCGAGCTGCTGTCATTGCTGTTGTTGTAACATAATCAACGCGCACAGTTGAAAGTGCAGCTTATACAACTACAATTTGTGTGCGAGTGTGTGTGAGTATGTCTGTGTGTGTGTGTGTGTGTGTGTGTGCTGCCGTCTGTGTGTAAATTCATTAATTAAGCGCAGACAGCGCTCGCTCTCTACAAAATGGCGTCGCTCAGTAGGCGGCGCTTAAGCGCCGCCCCCCCTCCTTCCCCCCGTCCATGTGGAGCGTGTGTGGTCACCTTTGGTGGCAGCTAAGCAGCTTTATATTTACGGAAGAAGAGCCCATAGCTTACCTGTCCCGTGGCCACTTCCAGCAGAACATAGACCAGCAGAATGATTTCCTTCTCATCGGAGCCGAGACCGGGCCCGTTCTGGCCGCAGGTGGCTATATATAGGGAGACGACGTGCTCGGGCACCTGCATGTTGATGAGGTTCTTGTCTTTGATCTCTCAAATAAAGTAACAATTTTCTCTATCGATCTCTATCGAGAGACCGTGGCTCAAATAACTTTAAAGCGGGCGAGTTGCTTTCTATTTGCTATCAATTCCAGTTGGTGTCGTTGCGGAGCTGATGGCACTGCATTCTCTGGTTAGATATCCATTGGTTATACCTGCAAAAAAAAATATGGAAGAGTGTGAGAGGTGAGAAGAGCGAGAGAAGAGGTTAAAGGTGAGCGAAAAGTTATACAATATTGGAAACTTTGCTCAATAAAATTTAAATCTAATTACAAATGCATTCAAAGAAAATGTCAGGCAATACGAATTGGCAGCAAAGGCAAATATTTGACGTTGCCAATTGGAAATTTGTTGGAGCGACGTTGCCAATTTTCAGTTGTATGCAAATTCAGCGCTGTCAATTTTCTAATGAGACAACTTTGCTGTAAGACGTTGCCAATTTTCAGTTAATATGTTAATATTTATAAAAGCTCAACGACATGGCCAGCTTCTGGTTAATACGAATACAGCGTTGCCACCTCTCACTTGAGCAACATTTAACTGAGTTAGGCGATGTTGCCAATTTTCAGTCCGCCATTTTATGTGCTAATCAGACGACTTGAGCGACATTTAACGAACAAAGACTCTTAAATTGCCTCAAAAGCATGTCCAAAGAGGTCAAATTGAAATTATTAACCTGCACGACGATTTGAAATTTAATTTTGCTCGCTCGCTAGCTAACTCGATTGCCAGTCAGCAGGGCCCAGAGCCGCACAAATGGACAAAGTCAAGCAAAAGGCGAATGTGGAAACGTTGGCGACAACGAAAAAATTAAAGTGCAATTTTATGAGCATTTTTAATGTGAAAAGTTTTACTTTTAATGAAAACAGCAAAACCAAACACAGACCAGCATCAAGCACTGCTCGACTGACTGACTGACTGAATGACTGGCTGACTGACTGACAGACAGACATTAAACCAACTGCAGAGGCAAAGGTCGCCGGCGCGCATGGGTTAATCGGGGCGCACAGGCGCACCGAGAGTCATCGCTGGCTTTTGCAATCGCATTTATGATGACTTTTTGTTGTAATTAAAATTTTAAATAATACAAATACAAAAAAAGAAAAAGAAAAACAAAAACACGTCCAAGCTTTTTGTAATCAAGACAAGCAAAACCGATTTTAAACAGTTTGCGACAGTTTCTCAGCTCCAAAATGTTTCTTTCATTATTTTTTTTTTTTTTTTTTTCATTTTTGGTTTTTTGAATTTGTGTTTTTTTTTACATGTTTCTGCATCGTTGCAGTGGTCCGCACTTCGCTAATAACTCATATTGTTTAAGCAAAACATAAAAAGACTCTTCTTTTTGCTGGTTTGCAGGTTTCGCTTCGTGTGCTGGGGAAATGGTCAATCTTTTTGTTTCCCCCCATTTTTCAAGCATCTCAACGTGCTGTAATGTTAATGAATGTATGTGTTCGTTTGTGCTCTTTGAAGACTTGTGCAATTTATGTTGAGCGTTTTTTATGCTTTCGCCCTCTCTTTCTTTCCATATATCCCTATCTATAGCTCTAAGCTTTTTGCCGTTATGTGGCAGGTGCATGAAGTGTGTGAAATTTTAGATTCCCAGGCTCTTCAAGAACTCTATAATAAAATGTTCTATCGAAAACACAGTTTTTAATGTCTTGAACTGGGAAATAAAACATAGCTGGATTGATCTTTGGGCTAGCGAACACGGAAATATGTTAGAAATGCGCTTATGTAATGGGCTCTATTAAGAAATGTGTAAAGGTTAATTATTGGCAGTTCTGATAATGTTTTTATATATTCTTTAGTTAGTTAATGTGCTTATGACTGCAGAAAAAGTTAAAAAAGTAACATGAGAATGTAAAGCTTAACAGCTGCGGCGAACTGTTACTGCTGTTAACAGTTGCAGGAAATGTTAATATATTTCTGTTAAAATGTTTGTTATAGAAAATTCTAAATTATACTTCTTATGTGTTCAAACACATATTATTATTATGCGATAAATCCAACTAATTTATATATATTGGCGTTTTTTTAATTAAAAACAAGCTATCATGAAATCGAAATATTTATTAAGAACGACATGTTTTCAATATTAGCATAAATTTGAATGATTTGCAGGACAGCTATGGCACGCTGTTACTGAAATTAACAGTTGCAGATTATGTAAAGATGTTATTTTACATTTTTATTTGCAAAAAATTACTTAGTAGACTGCAATAACTATATTATCTAAATCAAGCTTCTTTCAAAGCTACTCGAAACACTTGTCACAAAATGCTCTATTGTTGATTCTCATTTAATTTATGGCTCGTAAATCGCAGGCTTATTGAACAAGCACGAGTAAATATTTATGATCATTTTCGACTTGATGACTTGATTTGATTTTGATGTAAAAATAATGACAGCAACATGAAGCCAAAGTAAGCCAATTAATTTAGTTGGTTTTATGGTACAGATCGGGCTTGGAACCGAAACTAACCGCTAGCCGTAACACTTCATAAATTTGTTGTTGTTGCCCAAATGAATTTCCCTTTCGTTTCACACTTCAAAACTCACTGAGGCCTGACCGAAGCCAAGGCCTAGGTCCAGTGCTAAAGAGCGTTGCGAAGTTTTCACTGAAACATTAACGTATGGAAAAGCGTTTTCGAGGTGACGCGCCGTGACAACCGAGCACACACACACACACACATACACACACGCACAATAAATCTTATTTTCCGACGAGTTGCTCATTAATGAATAACGGGTCGTCGCGTTGTTATGGCCTCCTTTCGAGCTAATTAGAACGGGAAGAAAGTAGCTACAACAACAACAACATGCAAATCTTCATTAAAAAGAAACAACAGAATTGAACGGCAATGTTACGGTTATTCCAAAACTCAATGAGTTCCAAATTATACCTTTATTATAAATTAGTAATATATTCAGCAAAGCAACAACAAATGCAATTAATAAGTTGGTAAACAACTGAGAAATGTCTCATCTTTTCTTATACCCTGTACTTATTTAAATAGGTTAAACACTAGACATAAAAAAGGAAAAATGAAAGCTAAAGGAAAGAGTTTGTCAGCCGACTTCCCATTTAATCCAAAACTTTTTTTGTATAAAGATCCCTTTATTTTAAAAATTCTATTCATTGGAAAAGTTACTTTCAAACGTTAGAAATATAATTTCAATTGGGATTAAAATGAAGCAATGCGCGTGTTACTTTGGCCAATATATAAGAGCTTTAAAAGGAGTCATTAGCACATTAGATTGGTTAAATTTTTGTAAGAGTGGGAAACAGAACAAGCATAAGAGAGCTTTTGCTGTAATTAACTTCCTTGGCTGTTCCAATATAAAAGATTTTATCAAGAATTGGTATGCAAGCACTTCAGAACAGCATCTGCAAGCCCTGAAAATTGCATAAGGATCGCACCATAAAAGCAGAAGTTACTCAAGATTGCATTCTCTACCATATGGTGAGGCTTAAAGAAGCGCAGGTATTGTTGGGCTGGCTATTGGGTATCTGCTAGTCGGGCATTTTCGCCCAGAGCACACAGACTCGTCTCTTTTAAGCTGTTGATTTTGTTGTTGTTGTTCTTCTGGTTGTTTATTAATTGCAGGCATTACGCAACCGTTCGCATTGTTCCAGTCAAAATGGCTGGAATGGAGATTGGAATTTGAAACGGAATTGAAATTGGCGTGTGCCGTTACATTTTTTAGCCAACAGGAAATTTATGATTGCGCACAAAATTGCATACAAGTGAAATGCCAATTGCCAAAGTTATGCTGCGCTGTCGCCATCTCCCTCTTCCTCTCTCTTTTTCTTTTCCACCCTATATCTGCTTCTCCCTCGCTCGCACTATCTCGCTCTCTCTCTCGCTCTGTCTGTTGCGCCAGCAACAAGTGCAGCAATTGTTGTGGTTGCCGTTGTTGTGATTCTTTGCGCAAATGCGCCTGTCAAAAGCTAACATAAAAATCACTAGAGCTCAAGGCAGAAGCAGAAGCAAAAACTAAGCAACAACAAAAACAAGTCTCTTAAAGCGCAGCAGCAGTTAACTTTGGGAGCTTTGTAACGTTTGGTGTTGGCGTCGACAGAGACGCTGCTGCGCTGTTGGTACGCGCTCTTTTATTATTTCTTGTCTGTGTAACTGTAAATATGTTTTCACTTTGTTATGTTTGCGCATCTGCCTTTAACGTGTACCGTCTTTGAGCTGCTCATTTTTTTTTTTTGATGTTGTTGCTTTTGTTGTTGCTCATTCACTCGTTCATTCACACTACACACACACACACACACACACACACTCACTTATAGGCGTACATATGCATGTGTGTCACAAATTTGTCAAATAGTTGTACAACTTACAGCAACAAATGAGAAACGCCAGCGCTTAAAGCTTTTTTTTCTTTTTTGCAGCAACAGGTTGATCCTTCGGCTTGCCTTGACAAAGCGCAAAGCTTTAACTGTTTATTTTGTTTTTGTTGTTGTTTGGTTTTTAACACATTGCACTTTGTTGTTGTTGTTGTTGTTTTTGTTGTTGGCTGCTTTTCACAATTTTTTTTTTTTATTGCACTTTCTTTTTCACACATACATACATACGTGCGTACATACAGTTATGTACGTGCGCACACAGAAACAAACGCAGTTGTTTTTGTTGTCAATATATGTACTTGCATACATATGTAAAGCCCTGCTGGGCTTCTGTGTACTTCAGCTGCTTCTTTGGCTAGTCACACTGACTAGCAGTTAGTTTCTGTTTGTGTATGTGTGTCTTTCCACACGACGCCGCCGATCTTAATACCAACACGTATAAAACGGACGGCGACGCCGACGTCAACGTCGGCGCAATACATGCAAACAAAAAACAAGTCACTTTTTTTCGCCTTCTTTGCTACGGCTGCTTCTTCTACCACTTTGTGTGTGTCTTTATTTTATTTTATTTTATTTTTTTTTAACTGTTGTTTTTGTTTTCTTTCTAGTTTTGGACTAAAATGTGTGCGTGTGTTTGTGTGCATGTGTGAGTGTATGTGTATTTTGTATATTATTTCTCTTGCTGCTTCAGCGACGGTCGCGTGCGTCTGGCTCCAGGTTAAAACAGCAACTGATCGACTTCGTGGGCCACAGGCAGCCACGAAGGTAAGTGAGCTGCGCTTGCCTGCAGGTGTGCATGTGTGTGTGTGTGTGTGTGTGTGTGTGTGTGTCTGTGGCTGTGTGTATATGTATATGTGCAAGCAAACCTTTGCCGTGAGAGTTGCGTTGGTGAGAAAGAGTGCGCGACAACGAGAGAGCGAGCGCTCGCTGGCATAGCTCAGGTGTATGGGCCACTTAGCTGCTGGCTGATGCCAAACAAGATTCCAGCACGCAAACGCACAACAACAACAACAGCAACAACAGCAACAACAATGAGAGTAATAACAAGCATTAATGTACAAAGTTGGCTAGATTTGTCTGCTTGCCAATAGGCTGGTGCACAGGTGGTTGGCAACGCGGCGTAGCCCTTGTGGTTGGCAACGCGGCGGAGCCCTTGTGGTATGCAAAGGCAAAAGGTAAACACTAACCTGCCAAATAATGAATGAATGCGTTTACCTGCATACAAATGTAGCTCCAATCAAAGAAAACAAAACAAAAAATAAATAAATTTGAACAACAACAACAGTTAGGCCGCTCACACACACACACACACACACACACACACGCATACTCTCAATGAGCAGCGGCGTAGTCAGCGACAACTTGCGCAGGGGTCGCCCCCACTTGGCTTATTGCAGTTTCCCACGCTGCGCACACAACGACACACAAAGCAGTTACGCTCGCTCAGCCATGACACGCTCTCTCGCGCTCACTTGCTCTCCCGCTCACGCTCTCGCTGGTTGCGCTCTGGAAGTTACCTGCGCCAAGCCGCTCGCGCAGCCCCCGCGCCAACACACCTGTACAGCAGTGTGTTGCGTGAGTGTATTTCTCTTGATGTGTGTGTATGTGTATGTGTGTGTTGCTGTTGCTGCTTCTTCTTCTTCTTCTTGTTCGGCTTGCTCAATTACCAACAGAACTGCCCACGTACCTGTTTGTACTTTTCAAGCGGTAAAATTCCAATTCCAGGCCAGCCATTTTTCAATATTTGTATTTGCAACGCGATAAAATTACGGCACAATTTGACATTTGATAATTACAATCTAAAACACAATTATCGAATGTATTTGCTTATCGAATTTATTTAACGTTCACGGAGATGGCATTCGCTCTCTCCCTCTCCTGTCTCCTTCTAACAGCAACAAGCGACGGCAACCGACTGACAAAACCGCGCAACCTAAACGCGTTTTGGTCGAAAGGCAATATGCGAGAGTGTCAACTAGAAGCAGAGCGAGCGCAAGAGAGCGAAGAATACCTGTGTGCGTGTGTATTGGAGTGTGCTGCCTACCTGGGCGCCAGTGCATGACATGCAGCATTGGAGCCCGAATGTGCTGCATGACATGCAGCTGTCATACAGACTGGCTGCTAATGCTGCTTGAAATTTTTAGTGTTGCAAAATTAATAAAAATCTAGAAAGAACTGTTAACCGTAAAGGCAAAAGCTCTGTAGGAAATCTCCTTCTAAAAACTATATCGAGCTAATGCCAAAATCATCATTGCCAATTTCTATTTATTTATATAAGTTGCTCATTATTTAAAATACAAAAATTTAACTTTTTGCAAAACTTTATTTTGACTCAAATAAATATAATAAAATTAGTTTATTTTTGAAAAAAAGTTGTAAAACATGGACGCTGTCTGTCCCTATAACTTGCACTCTTCTCTTTGAACTTTGTGAACAGACAATAAAATATATTTTTAGATAAAAGTATCAAGCAGCATGTCATGCAGCTCGTTGCATGCATGCAAATTTCGTACAAGTGCTGTAAAACGAATAAAAATAATTATTTAAATGGCATTTGCGACCGTTTGAAGGATGATTGCACAATACAAGGATATTTAGCATACTGATTATATATATTAAGAGGCACGTGGCTTTTCGCTCTTCACAAAATAATTTCGTTCTTGAAACTGCGACTGAGCTCCTTGTGCGGCAGGACAATACTGTTGAGCAGAATCTTCTCCGCGGGTATTTGCACAAAGCAGCCTTTGGGATGAGTAAAAAACGAAAATAATGTTAATTAGAAATATTTGATTATATGAATTGTAGAAACAAACCCAATATGGTTATGGATGGATTCAGTTTGCCCTCGTTGTTGAACAGCGGCGGATTTTCCATTTTGGCAAAGGGCTTATTTGGATCGGGATCACTGGGCGTGCCCTCGACGCGCGTCCAGGCGCCTATGCTGCAGCCACGCCCCACAATCGAGTGCAGGATAAGCGTGTGATCCTTGATCTGCGCCTGCTCCAGGACAATGGATTCGCGTATGCGAACGCCAGGTCCGATAGTAACTCCCGGACCAATGGCCACGTTGGGGCCAAGCTGTTTGGAACAAGAAAGGACTTGTGATTGCTGCCAGCTTACTTTGAACTGTATATCAGAAATATCTATATACAAATAATAGTAGGCACCATCTAGATCTTTTTATGCTATAAAATCGATATCGATACTATGTAAATCGATATTAATCGATAATAATTTAGTACGCGTGGGGCACATGAGAACTAAGTTTAGGTACTTGTTGTACCTCAAAGATAAAAGAAAAACTAGGCCAAGAAAAGATATGTATCGATCACAGAAATTGTGGGAATTGATCGATAAAATACGCTTGATGTGCGTATATTCTGAATGGGCCACAAATAGCTTGACGTGGCCAGATCGACTCGACTGTCCATGTGAATCATATAAATGTCTACTTGTATGGGATTGGAGCGACAGATCTTTCTTAAGGAAACACCCTTTTCAAGCTATGTGTCGAGGGTATAAACAGCTGCTGTGCAAATACTCACCACCGCCGAGTGATGCACCGTGGCACTGGGATGCACATAGACATCCGGATAGACGGTGCATATCAGATTGCCATCGCCTTCGCCACGTTTGCTGCCCACATTGGCCAGACGCTCGGGATGGGTGCGCTTGTAGAGCGCCAGATAGTGCCGATTGGCATAGATGGCCGAGCCGGCGGTCTTCAGCTGTGACCACCAATTGGGCACCGGCATGGCAAAGAGCTTGTCGGTGCCCGCCAGCGGGGTGAGCACCTCCTGCTCCCACTTGATGTGACCCTGCTCCTTGCCGTTGCCATTGCCATTGCTGTAGCTGATGCAACTGTACTCCTCGCACTTGGCATGAAAGATTTGGGCCAGCTTCGTGAATATATCCATGGAGCACACATAGACGCCGCAATTGATGTAGGTGGAGACATAGGAGCTCGGCTTCTCCACATAGTGCGACACAGCACCACTGGCGCGATCGAATACGAGGCAGCCATAGTGCAGCGATTGCTGCCGTGTCGCCTCCGTGCTCATGATCGTCACCAAGGCGCTCGCCGGCCGCTCCATGTGAAATTTGTGGAGCTCCTCCAGCGGAAAGTCGGCGCAAACATCGCCGTTGAGCACAAAAAAGGCGCGCGGATTGCCGGCGCGTATCTGATCGCGAAAGTGGTACATGCCGCCGGCGGTGCCCAGGGATGTGAACTCCTGCAGATACCTTAAAAAAAGCAAAAGAACACGTCAGCTATGAACCACACTGTAGCCTAGACGGGAGTGGGCCAGCCGATACCCTGTATTCCGGTTGCCAGCACAAAATGAATATTGATACGGAAATTCACATATGAATATATTTTGGAGCAGGATATTCTCTGGGAGAATCTGATTGCCGAATTTATGGTCTCCAGCTAAGTGTAGTCACGTAGGCAAAATGAATTGACTGAAATCGATATTTATCGAAATAACGGTATATAAAAATAACGGTAGCTCAACATTTCGCATCATTAGCTATGAGTATGCGAGAAACAAGAAATAGAACAAACCAAAATCGATATTAATCGAAATCGAGAAGTTATCTAAAATTTGAAATTCAATTGATCTACGAAAAACTTTAGGCCTGATCTATCTGGGCTGTTTATATACACATCTATAGAGACAGGCGGAAGAAGGCCGCAAGCGAAGGCCCGAGCTAATATACCCATTTACTGCACTGGCTACAGGGTATGCACAGAAACCTCACCTGATGTTTATATTGCTGCTGCTGTAGAGCGCCTGCATGTCGCCCACAAAGCCCTCCATTTGGGTCTGCGGATAAAAGCCAATGATGAGAATCTCCCGCAGCTCCTTCAGCTGGACGCAGGCTTCGATGTGATGAGCTATCAGCGGGCGTCCGGCGACTGGGAACAGCGGCTTGGGCGTATCCAGCGACAGCGGGCGAAAGCGGGTGCCCTTTTGCGGGCCGCCAATCAAAATTACCGCCTTCAACATGTTTCAGGTTAAGCAATGGTGTTGCTTGTGACTAAACTTTTTTCATATATTTCTGTTATCTATTAATTGTACTGATATCAAATTCTGTTTACGTTGCCAACAATAAGTATCGATATCGCGTTGCCAATATAGTCCATCAGCTGTTTTGCTCCGCTGCGTTGCCAACCTTCTGAATGGCTGGCGATAGTTGCATTTCATGCTGTCACATCAATTAAATGCGATTAATTGGACGAAATGGTACGCAGCTAACGAGCATGCTAGCATGCATTTGTCAAATTAAACTGTCTTGGTTATGTATATTAATAAATATATTTTAGTACAGTAGCTTAGCACAATATAAGTAAATTTCGTATTCAACACCAATAGCAATCGGCATTATAGAGTTCTTTAATTACCAACAAAATTGCTTCTAAACGAAATTGCACCAAACGAAAGCCAAAACAAATGTATAATAAACTCATCTTTAAAAGCAAATCGGATGATATCTATAAATGTAGTTATTACGACTAGGACTGGTACGTAGCAAGCATGGCAGTTTTTGACAGACTGATTATCGATACATTTTTGGGTATCGATATATTTTACTCAACATCACTAATTCAATAGCGCCTCAGCCGGAATGGCGATGTAATTTTTCGTCAATAATTTTCACAAGTTCGCTGCAAACAGCATCAGACAGTTTGTGCACCAATTTGGTGGCTTCCAACTCGTCTGTCCACTGCTTGGAGACCGTTGCGTGTGTGTGCGTGTGCTTGAGCCTGCGTGCGTATGTGTGCGATGGCCTCAGCCGAACAGCTCGTTGCAGCCGCCTTACAGGGTGCCGCCAATCCCAATCACGAAATTGTGCAAAAAGCCGAAGCACAGCTAAGCGAATGGGAACAACAGCCGGGCTTCTTTCCCATATTGGCGCGTCTCTGCATGAAGCTGCAGGGTGACGGCGATGCGGCCGCCGCCGCCGCCGCAGCAGCAGCTGCTGCCACGCTCAGCGATGCCGTCAAGATACGCTGGATGGCGGCCGTTTATCTGAAGAATGGCATCGAGCGCTATTGGCGCCACAATTCCCGCCTGGAGCTGGCGCCGGAGCAGAAACAGCAAATACGCGACATTCTGCTGCAGCACTACAGTGCCGAGGATGTGCCCCAAGTGGCGCTGCAGGTGGCCGTGCTGCTGAGCAAAATCGCACGCATCGACTGCTGGCCAGAACTGTTGCCCACTCTGATGAAGCAGCTGCAGTCGTGCAGCGCTGCCGGCAGTGAGGCGCCCGCACAGCAGCAGCGTACGCTGCTCGTGCTGCACTATGTCATCAAGGCGCTGGCCTCGCGCCGCCTGCTCGCCGAGAAGCGCGCCTTCGAGGAGCTGGCCGCACAAATCTTCAGCTACATGGCCTGGAACATTTGGGCGCCGCTCACCGCACGCTTCCTGCAACTGCAGAAGACTGAGCCGGCGGCGCACAGTTGCCTGCAGCGTGCCCATATAGCCATGCGTTCGCTGCGCAAGCTGCTCGTCTACGGATGTGGTAGCAAGCCGTACAAGTCGAGCGATCACATGAATTTCATCGAGCAGCTGTTCGAGCGGCTGCGCCAGTGCCTTGAGCTGCGCTACGAACTGAGAATGCGCACACAGGAGGCGGGTGGCAATCAGCAGCAACAGCAGCAGCAGCTGATTGCCGATCTGGAGCGTTTCATACTGAAAATGATGAAGACACTGAATGAGTTTATGGAGCGGCATTCGCTGTCCTTTGCACGCTTTGTGCCGATGGCCTTGGAGTTTAGCTTTCACTATGTGTTCCACGAGGGCACCGCCCTGATCTTTGATGCCGGCGAGCGCATCAATTTCAGCAACTTCGTCATCCAGGCGATCAATCTGCTCAAGGGCATCATGATGAGCGGCAACGATAGCATTGCACAGGATCAGTCGGCCAATACGCTGGAGGATGAGCTGCTCGCGACGGCGGCGCAAACGCAAAGTAAATTCTTTAGCGTTGAGCGTGTCACGTATTTGTGCGAGAAAATTGTAACACATTACTTTCTGTTGACGGCCGAGGAGCTGGCGGAATGGCAACAGGATCCGGAGAGCTATGGCCAGGATGATGGCGGCGGCGATGCCTGGAAATATGAGTTGCGTCCCTGCGTCGAGACGCTCTACTTCACCTGCTTTACCCAACACTCGAATATCATGATCAACGAGGTGCTCAAGTTCGTGCGGCGTGCCCAGCAGCTGCAGCTGACGGAGAGCTCCGAACTGAAGGCCATACTGCTGAAGGATGCCATCTATAATGCTGTCGGTCAGGCCTCGTTTCACTTCTTCAACAAACTGGACTTTGGCTCCTGGCTGACGTCACAGCTGCTCGCCGAGCTGCGCATGGAGGCGTCCAATTTTCGCATTCTTCGGCGTCGCATCATTTGGCTTGTCGGACATTGGGTCGGCGTGCAGCTGCCACGTGAGCTACGTCCGCTGGCCTATGAGGCGTGCCTGCATTTGCTGCGTCCCGAGGAGGATATGCCCATACGTTTGGCTGCAGCGCGCACCCTGAATCTGCTTATCGATGATTTTGAGTTCATGCCGGAGGCGTTTCATCCCTATTTTGCTGCCCTGTTCGAGGCGCTGTTCCTGCTGCTCCGCGAGGCAGGCGCCTGCGACACTAAAATCGTTGTCCTGGGCACCATGACGCTGCTAGTGGAGAAGATGAGCGAGTTCATCGAACCGCAGGCCTTGCAGTTCATCGCTTATCTGCCTCTGCTGTGGCGCGAGAGCGAAGAGCATGAGTATAATATGCTGCGCTGTGCCATCATTGGCACCTTGGAGCAGCTTGTGCGCACCATTCGCGATGTGCCCGAAAGCATGAAGCCCTTCCTCTATAGCGTCATCGAGCTGAGCACCGATCTGCAGGTATGCATCCAATATTTCGAGCTGGGCGCCATTAACGAACCTTCTGCACTCTCTCTCTCCCCCTGCTCTTTCAGCAACGCTCACACGTTTACCTCATCGAGGACGGAATCATGCTGTGGCTGGCGGTCATTGGCAACTCGACAGCGTTGACACCGGAGCTGCTGCAGCTCTGCGATCATCTGTTGCCCATCATTGAGATGTCGTCGGAGAATCTGCGCACGGTGCTGCAGCTAATACACGCCTACATACTGCTCGATGCCCATGTAAAGGAATCAGTTGTTTTATATCGGATAACTATAACTAATTTTCATGATTCTTTTAGGCCTACCTGAGTCGTTATGGCGAAGGCTTTGTGGCATATTGTGTGCGCTCCTTTGAGGATATACGCACGGAGGGCATCATAGCCATGCTGCGCATCTTCGAGACATGCCTCAAGACGGATGCCACAATGGGCTTGCGCCTGGTGCGACCCGCCTTGCCGTTCGTCTTCCAGCAGGTGTGCCTCAAGCAGGAATATCCGATGACCATGAGCTGGTATCTGACACTGTTGGCGCGCACCTTGCTCATCGATCAGTCGGTGTTCATGTCTGTGGTGCAGGAGCTGCCACAAACGGATGCACTGGCTCGCATATTGGATGTGTGGATTGAGATGTTTCCATTGGTCGCCGATACGCATGCCGAGAAACGGAAACTCTTTTGTCTCGCCTTTGCCTCCATATTTGGCAATAATGAGCTGCTACTGGCGCGCCTGCCACACATACTGCAGCTGGTGGAGGAGACGCTCGGCGAGGTGATGGACAAGCAATATGCGGCAACAGATGAGGGCGCAGACAAGGCGACGCCGCGCTATTACGACTCGCTGGTCATACACGACGAGCACGAGCTGGAGGAGTTTCAGCCGCAGCTATACGATGACTTCCATTCAAAGACCTACCACGACGACAGGCATCGCCAGCTGGTGCTGAAGGATCCCGTTTATAAGATACCACTAACCGAATACCTCAAATGGCAGCTGCAGCATCTCCAGAGCCAACTGGGCGCCCCACGCTACGATCAGCTGATGCGCGCCGTTTGCCCCGAGGTGCTCGAAAAGATAAACATGTACATAGAGCAGACGGTGCCCAAGGCGTGCGGCGTTTGTGCGGGCAGCGGCGATGATAGCGAACCACCGTTGCCCGATGGTGGGGCCAGCGCCCGCACCGCGCTCGACTGATGGAGCAACTGCAGCAGCAGCCGCATTAACACCAACCAGGCCGGCGCCGTTCATAGCTGTGCTTCAAAAGCTTTCAAAACAGTCTTTAAGTTATTAATGTATTTTATTTTGTATTGAAATTATATATTTTTAATTGTTAATCCAAGTTGTGGACCACCCTCCTCCTCCTCCTAATCCACGGCCGGACGTCGCTCCATTTTGCTGCGCAGCAGATTGCGTATGGTCTCGTCCTTTTGCTGGAGCTTGTGCCGCAGCTTGTCCAGCTCCTCGGTGTTGCGCACATGCATGCCGCGCAGCTGTGACTCCTTGTGCTTGAGCAGCGTCGAGAGCTGCTGCACTGCATCGTATGTCTCGCGCAGCTCAGCCTGGCCGGCCTCCAGTTTTTGCGCCCACTGCAAAGTCATGCGCAGGCGCGCCTTCAGCCGATCTCGGGCGTGCTTGGCCTTCTCGCAGCTGCGCTGCAGTGAGCTGGCGCGTGTGTTGCATGCCTGGAGCTGCTCCTCCAGCGCGGCGCGCTCCCTGGCATGCTCCTGCTTCAGCTGCTCCAGCAGCGTTTTGCATTGTTGCACAGCCGCCGCTTCCACGGCGCTGGGCGTGACCTCTGCCGGAGCAGAAGAAGGAGGAGGAGCAGGAGGAGCAGCAGCTGGCGGCGTTGTGGGCATCGCAGTGCTCTTTAACGTAACCAGCTCCGACTTGCAGCGCGCATAGGCATCCTGCAGATGATTCATGTCCAGCAGCAGTGACTGATTGCGCTGCTCATAGAAATGCATGACCTCCACCAGCTTCTCCTTGACCAGATCCGTTTTGCGCGTTTGCGTTTCGGCCTTGGTGCGGCAGACGCCCAGCTGCGCCTGCAGACGCACTCGCTCCTCCGTCCAGCCGCCGACATCGCGACGCAGCTGCTCCTGCGTTTGCAGCAGTCGCGTATTCTCTTCCAGTGCACGCTTCAGCTCATTGGCGAACAGCTCAAAGTCGGCGGCGTATTGGGCGAGCAGCGCATCCTTGTCCCGCATCGACTCGTCGTAGGCCTGCAGCAGCGGCGTCAGCGTGTGCGTCGGCAGCTGGCTGCTCCAGGCGGGCACCGTGTGGCAGCTAGACGCAGTCGATGCTGCTGCTGCTGCTGTTGTTGTCTCCTCCGCCGTGCGCCGCTGATCCTGATAGCTTTCGATTTGAACATTCAGCCGAAAGACCAGAGTCTTGAGCATATCCACATCGTTGGCCAGCTCCTGATTCTGCTGCAGCAACTCGGTCTGCTGCTGATCCAGCTGCTGGCAGCGCTCGCAATTGGCCAAACGCTGTTCCGCCTGGCCCAGGCGCTGCTCCAACTGCTCGCTTTGCGTGCGCAGCTGCTCGTTCTCCCGCGCGAACTGCTCGTTGTATTTGTGCAGCGTGGCCAGGCGCTGGAGAAGCTGATCCAGCTGCTGTTCCTTGGCTTGCAGCTGACATGGGATTTTCAAAATGAGTTTCTTTTAATTTGGTTTGCCATTGGCCATTGGCCACTTACCAGTCCGTTGAGCGTGCGCTCCTGCTGCTGCTGCTGCTGTTTCTTCTTGCCACTGGCCGTGACTCCATCCACCAGGCGCTGCTCCACCTCAACGCTGCGCGATCTGCGACTAAAATTGCCCGTCAACGTCTGCAGCACCTTGCGCTGCCGCTTCGGCTGCGTGGCTGAGGCGTTGCTTGGGCGTGCCGTCTGCTTCACCTGCTCCTTCTCCTTCTCCTTCTCCTGATCCTGCTCCTGCTCCGGTTCGCTCTGATCCAGATCCGTGATCATAACTCCTCGTCGAGGCGTGCTCATGGCTGTCCGTTTCAGTCGTTTCACTTGACACTTTTTGCTCTGACTGCGCTGTTGGGGTAAACAAAAACAGACCGATACGGACTCCTTGTTGTCATGGAAGCGGCGACTATGTTTGACCCTGTTACGCTGCACTGTGGGGCGGTTTAGCCACTTCTGCAACATATATAAGGGTGCTTATTGGGCTACTCCAGATAAGTGTATTATAATTCGTTCACGAACTGTTCCGATCATTCTGTCCGATCTTACAAATGATATACATTCTTGATCAAAGCCGAAGCCATCTGTCTCAGTTGTCTGTTTCTCTTATAAAAAAAAGCAAATGGCAATATATCAACTATATTTACAGTTTAGATATATCTTCAGAAGTCAGCGTCGGCCGGATCGAACCACTATATCACATAGCTGTCATAGGAGCAATCTATCTAAACCAAGTTCTGGTATAAAAAACGCTTTTGTACTTCAAGTTATCTTGGCCAATCAACATCTGCTAACTTAATCGTAACTATATCATATTTAAGTCTGGTAACTATCCTTCTTTTCAGACATACATTTTGACAGATGTCTGTTTTGTCCTGAATCTTATCTTAATCTTGTCTTAATCAAAGACAAGCTTCACTCTGAACAAACTTCCTATACATTGGAACAAAATAATTTTAAAATCTATTCAATATTATATTATAGGTAATTCCAAACAGTCCCAATTGGGACCCATTGTGAGATAAGGTGAGCCGCTGCTTAGGGGTAGCAACCCCTTTGAGCCGAACCGCCACTGGGCGCACTTTCCCATGGCAGCTGAAGAGAGCTGAGCGGCAGCGAAGAGAGCGAAAAGCTCACGCGCGCTCTTTGACAGGCTTTGCACTCAGATTGGGCGGTGGGAGTGGGAGTGGGGTTGGGCTGTGTTTGGCTTGGGTTTCAGTGTCTTGGTCCTTGAGCAGCACACATAAGTCTAATGTCCAGGCGGAAAACTACAAACTTCGACGATGCTCCTCGGGGCACATTTCTCAATAAATGTGCGCCAGTTGAACGGCCAGGTGGCAGCCCTAGCCAACGCTTAAGGGTTGTCCTTTCTCGCCAGCTGAAGTGCCGTGTGCAGCAGTTGGTATTTGTTTTCGTTTTCTTTTTTTTCCACTTTCCTTTTATAATTTTCATGTGCATTTTATGCATTTGGCTGATTGCTGTTGGCAAGTGGCGCATTTTTGCATCAGCAAGTGGCAGGTGGTGGGGAGGGGGGGGGGGTGTGCAGGTGCAACCGTTACGAGCCATGTGGCCTAATTCGACCTGGCCAAATGCCACGGGCAACAAGTACTCCAGTGCGGAATGGCAACAATCAATCAAGCAACATGAGCGCATATCCTAATCCAACTCAAAAATGTGCACGACCACTTTAGCCACGAACTTTAAGAACAAAATGTAGATTGCAATTTCAAATGGAAATTTAAGGATCTAAGGATAGTATTACAAATTTCTAGCTTAAAATAAGTGCAAATTTCACTTATAAGAATGCCCAATCTTTTAATGAATATATTAAGGATAAAGATGTTATTGCAAATAATATATAATAGGAAAGCAACTTATCATATTTTATCATATATTATATATTAGCCCTTTTAGCTTGAAGAGTTCAAGCTACATGATATTTAATATTTTACTTATATTTGAACACGCTTTCATATGCAAATAGCTTTAATTAAATTAAAATATTTGAATTAAATTCCATTTATAGTTTTATATATTACAAATATGCCTTTAATTAAAATTCAATTACAATTTAAGCTAGATTCAATTAAGCTAAGAAATTAAATTAGGAAATAAATTAAATTAACAAGACTTCGCTAAACAGAAGTTGTCTAATTAACTCTTAGGACAACTGCAAAATAAGCATGAAACTAATATAACCTTCTTGATTTTGTGAAAAGAGCATATTAATATTTTGTTATTCATTTGTTATTAAAAATAAACAACTCAAAGTTGTGTAAATAAATACGAATGCAATTTATTCTACAATTAAGTCTAACACAAGAGAATCAACAAAAATAAAAACCGAACTGAGAGATTGATTGGATGCGTCATCCGAGCCATAGGCTTCTCATTCGGACTCCCACAATTCCAGGTTTCTTTGGAAGACGCTTAAAAAGCCGCATAATATATTGTTTATATTACCCCCACCCCGGGCAGGCCTCTTTCCCCACTTGGACACTTGGATTCCATTAAGCCAGGCAGGAGCTACGCAGGTTTCATAATAACAGCAACAAGTCTCTTCCTCTTTCGACACAGAGTCTGAGAAAATTTTAGTAGCATACTTAGAGGAGTCCAACAGGAGCACAAAATAAAAAAATATCTAAAAGCCTAATAACATTTGCCATAAGCTGAACGAAATAAAGCCCATCTAATCTGGAATCTAATCTTTATTTTTGCTACCATTCGATTATAGAGATCAGGTGAAGTTGGCTTACTTTAAATTGATATATTTGAAGATGTTGCATGCCCCAAAATACACGAACTCAACTTGATTTTCACAACTGACAACTGTTTGGCGAGAAACTTGAAAGCTGTCATAAATAATTCATTTTGTAAATATTCAATTTTCCATCGATCCGCATGAATTTTAAATTCCGTTTACTGTTAAAGGAGTTGCTCCCCAATCCCACTGGCACTCCATAATTGCGCATTCACTTCTGCGAGCAACTCGATGTCAGAAATCAATTTACGTGGAGCAGAAAAAAATAAAAAATAAAAAAATAAACTGAAAATAAAAACTTGCTCATTATGCAAATGAAAATGTTCTCTCGAGTTGCAGTCATTAAACAGAATTCATAGAAACAAGACCGCATGAACTAGGCGGGAGTGCACGACTAGCAGATGCTCTGTAAACACAACTAAATGACCGGCTAAGAAGTACCCTATTTCGGTATAGTTCGAGAGGAAATACCCTTCGATAAGGTAATAGAAACATGAAAGGTATATCACACAATTGAGTTAAGATCGATGAAACCCAACGAAAACTTAAGAAGTCCTGCAAATTCTGCTCAAAATGGATTATTATGAAGAATCTTGAAAAATAAAATGTAGTAAACAAAATTATTATAATTATCAAACTAAATTAATAAGATCTGATCTCAAGTACAAATTAAGAAATTTAAAAATGTTAACAAACTCTACAAGTTCTTTTATCAAGGATCAAAGTAGTCTAACTTTTGCAAGTACTTAAATGCGGTTTTTCTTTTACTCAATGAGACTTTTCAAGCGTTTTATGGTTTTTGCAGGGTATTCAAATCAGCTCAGAACGCAATACGCTGGAAAATTAAATCCGAAATCACACACACCCACACACACACACACAGACCTGCGTATTTGTATACATTATGTCATTCAACGCACTTCATAAAACAATGTCCGAGTACGCGGCGCATATTGCAAAATTCACGTAAAATTTGCATAATTGAAGCGCAAATGACCAGCGCCAGGTTGCACAAACAGACACAACCACACACACACACACACACACACACACACACACACACACACACTCCTACGCACACACACCCACAACGACACGCCCACACACAGACAAGGCAAACCGTTTACAGTTATTAATGCCCAACCAAGCGCCACCTGTCGTAGCAAAAAGCAAACATCAACAGAAACCGAAAAACTAACAGAGCCAAAGCAATCGATTCAAAGTGATGGAATAACAAATACCCTATACCCTTTATCTATGCACAACAAGTAAATTATTCATAATTTCTTCTTAAATACAAAATTGGCATTAAATGCAAGATATGCTAAAGATATAGATATCGGTTTAGGGAATCGGGAATGTGGAAAATCGATAATTATCGATTCTTGAAAAGCCGAATGCTAAATTACCTGAAATAATCATCATAATCGATCTGCAAATGATAAGCAGGAACTTTTTTCAGATAGAGGTCGATATGTGCCTAAAAGCAGTATACCCCTTTAGCTTTATGCAGGGTATGAAAAGCGCACAAATTGGTTGTGGGACACGCGTCATGGTTGAAGCGTGCAACTATGTTGCATGTGTGTGGTATATGTGTGTGTGTGTGTGTGTGTGTGTGTGATACATGCAAATGTGTGAGTTTTTAGAGCCTATTGAATGAGACATTTAACGTAGTCCAAAGTTTCTATTGCAAAGCTGTCCGTTGACAGCTTGTTGCACTTGCAGATAAGCTCCCTCCAATTGGATGGACAAGTTGCTAGCCTGCACCCCAGGCGTATGTGCACCCTCACTCCCCCCCCCACTCCGCTCTGTGAGCTGTCAACATTTTGGTGTCTGTTGAAGGCCAAAAGGTTGCAAGGTTGCAAGCGCCTGCTGAAAGTAATCGCCGGGAGTCTCGTTTATGTTTGGGTTTACTTTTTGGTCGGGCAGAGAATTTTGCCAGACCGTGCGCTGACTGCATTATGGATGTGCCCGAGTGTGTGTCTGAAGGTGTGTGTGTGTGTGTGTGTGTGTGTGTTTGTCTGCGTTTGATAACGAAGTTTTGTCATTCGCTCCACCCTCTTAAGGTCATACAGACACACTCTGAGCCACATGCAAAAACAAAATCACCTTAGGGGTATATACGACTGGTCGATACACTTTACCTTATCGAAGTATTTCTAGATTGTGCAGGGAATTTGTAAGTGCATAAAACATGTCTCAAATTCGTATTTACTGTTAATATATTTTTGTTATTTTTAAATACTTTTCAAATAAAGCCAACAAATATTCTAATTATGTGAGTAATTTTATTTATTTTAATTTTATTTTGCCTTAGTAAATTATATCAATATCAATTTGAGCGACCTTATAATTATTTTTTAGTTTTACAGGGTATACATCCAGCTGCTTGCTCCTGCTGCCCACAAACTGCCGTCAGCCCCCCCTCACAAAAACTGACAGAATTTCAATTTCTATGTCACTTTCGTTGCGCTCCTCTTCCTCTTCTTCTTCTTCTTCTTGATGTTGTTGTTGCTGTTGCTGTTGCTGTAACTGTTATTGCTGTTCTTACTCATCTCTTATTTCTTTTCTTTTGCTACTCCATCATCAGCTTAATGCTCAACAAGTGGGTTCGCGGGCGAGGGGCGTTGATAAAGCTGCACCACAAACAACAACAACAACAACAGCAACAACAACAACAACAACAATAAAACATAAGTTTTGGCAATGCTTGAAAGCAAAAACCGACTTTTTGCTGCTTCGTCCGTCTTTAACTTTTCTGCTGTGGCCAATGCTGCGCCTGCTTCTTCTTCTTTTTCGTCTTCACCTTCTTCGTCTGCGTTATCGTCTTCTTTGCCCTTGCCCTCCGCCTCTTCTGTTTACTTTCGTGGAAAACTTTGGGCAAATGGCATTTTGGCATTTAGCTGTGAAACAACAACTAGAAAGACTTCTCTAGTCGCGTGTGCCCGACTAGTAGATACCGTGTACTCAGCTCTTAGCAACATACACACACAAATACACGCCGCGGGCCAGGCTGACTTGACTGTGCTTGTCATGCCGATAAAGAATTTATGCATTATTAGAAGCAAATCGAAGATGCCTCCTTTTAACCGTTACAAACGTCTGCAGAAAACCAACACATCCTTTTTCTTGCGCATTTTCAATGTTCGCATGGTAAACAACAAAAGCAAGAACAAATATGGCGTCCATTTAGCGTCTGCTTATTGTTCCGCCCGCACCCGCACCCGCACCCTTACCCTTGCACATTTAACAGATTATTTTGTCAACGTTTAGTTTCTTTATTTTTATTTTTTTTGTATTTTGTGGGGGTAAGAGGAAGAGCAACAGACATTTGAGCGACGTCCAGTGCGCTAGGTAACACAATCTAAATTCCACTAGTAATTTATGGGGCTGGTGTTCCAGGGTGCACGCTTGTTGCTTTTGACTAATGTATTCCTTTTGCGGCTGGTATTTGGTCTGCCAAGCAGCAACAAAGTAGAAACAATGTTCTGGCAACTTCCTGTTTCCTCAATGCGGCGCCGTCGGTACGCAAATTTAACAAAAGCAGCAAAAGGAAGCCAACAACAACCTTTTCTCATTTCCTTTGAGCGCTGCGCACACACACACACACACACACCCAGACACACACAAACAGGCACGCGTTCACTTGTTGCTGTAGACGTTACCTTTTGCAAAAAGCAATTTCATGGCATTGCTTTTAAGCAGGAGGCCGCATCGACGGCGACAGTGACAGCAACAAGGCTGGCCCCAGCTCTGATTGGCCGCCTATTCCCTGTCCCTCTCCTAACCGTATTTGATTTTGTCTACACACACACGCACAACACAGCTGCACGCGCTCTTTCTACAGCTTTGGCTGCCGCCTGTTTGTCTGTTTGAACGCATTACAAATTTGGCCTTTATTTGGCCCGTGCTAGCCATAATCAAGAAAAAAGACTTGCTATTAGGGCACATCAACTAGGCAACACGGCTTGCCACATTGCTTACATAACCTCATTCACTCAGTGTGATAAAACAAAAACAAATTATACATACATACATACGCAGCTTGCAGCTATTAATACTATGTACGCACTCATTGCTCTTGCTTGCATTCTCACTCTCAGCTAAGGTTAACCTCATAACTTGCTGTTCTCACACTAAGCTGTGGTCAAGCCTTTAAGCTAAAAGTGTTCTCACTCTCAATTGTTAGTAGAGAGCAGATGTAAAGGATAAACGGTAAAACAAAACGATTAGCGCAATCGCGCAATTAGTAAAGCTTGCGTGCAGCGGAGCTGCTTGTGCTCATGTGATAAAAACGACATAAATCTAATTTGAAATACCGCAACTTGAAACTAATTTTATCCAAGTAAGAAGTCCAAGCAGCTGACAAGGTTTTTTTTTTAACAGTTTCGCATAATTTGCTCAACATGGCAGATCGCTTGTCTATCTGATACTAATCGATAGCGATATCGATATTTGCTGTAAGACAATATGTTCATTGTAGAATATGCAGATCGTTACGTGTAGTGACCACATATTAACGATTATTAGGCGAATGCGTTATCGATATGTGTAGTCCCGCAGTGACATTGTTGTCGATCGAAAGTAGTCAATTAAAAGTTGCACCAATTGTGCAGATAATTAAGAACTTCTCGATTTGTGTTAAAAGTGAAACTAAAACTTAAATCAAATAATAATCAACTATTTAATGGTAAGTGAATTTGAACTTATGTATATTTGATTACTCTTATTATTTTAGTTTTAAGAAGATGGTTCAGTGCATTCACAAGCCGCCATTTTGTTTTTGTTTTTACTTTCGCTTTTGTGACGTCAGTTGGTTTTTTTTTTGCCGCCTGCGCAGCGGCTCGTCGTCTGTACAAATAATCATACTTCAAAGGCTATAAATCGTTATTTAAATTTCAATTTTTTTATATTTTAACATTGCTTAAAGTTTCATTCTGTAAATACCAGCTGCCAGTTTTATTGTTGTTGCTGCTGCTGTTGTTGTTGTTGTTGTTGTTATTGTTGTTATTGTTGTTATTGTTGTTTGGTGGTTTCTTTGGCAATTTGCGCAGAGTAATATAAAGTATGCTTTAAAACAAATTTCAGCTTATTTGGTTATGAGTCTCGCGTGTGCTGCCTTTAAGCGCGAATATTTCTTCATAATACTTTGTGTGTCTATGTGAGTGTCTGTGTGTGTGTGTGTGTGTGTGTGTGTGTGTCTGTGTGTGTTTGTGTGTGCAGGTGTAGCGGCATCTCTGCCTCGGATTGGCTGGCCAGCTGGAATTTCTGCCTGTGTACTATATATATTCTTGACTATACTAATACACACACACACACACATACACAGACTCGCATAGAGCTACACACACAAACACAGCTTGGGTTCTATAAAATTTTTGTATGCTTTGGCATCCTTTTTGATCCTCTCCGCTGCCCTCTAAATCCCTTTTCGGAAAGGGCTGACGTTGAGGAGCAACTAATCCGTTAGAAGGGTTAGGGATATCAGCTAATACCGTTATCTGCCTTGTTACAAAGCTTCAAAGCCTTTTAATCTAACAGTAAATACAGAAATATGATTTTAGATTTGAACAAACAAATAAAATGAAATGTGTAAAGAAAAACAGGAGACTCATATTACGGAAAACTGAGGATTTTTAAATTGATTTTATTATTTACAAGCGTTTAGAGCGCTTTAGGCTAAGGATAGTTCGCACAAATGTTAAGAAATATGTTATTCTTAAAGTTTTCTGTAAGTTTAAGTTTTAAAAAGATATTTTCAAAAGATAATAAAGTCTTTTATCCCTATTAAGACGAGTGTAGGCTGAGATCTTATGATTTACACCTTTTCAAATTCTTTGGTTCAGTAGTTCATGTAGTTTGTCTTATTTAATGAGGACATGTCGAGACATTATTATATTTATGTCTAGTTCGAGTCGGCGCCATCTGCTTGACTTCACACCGTCATGTCATTGTCTCGTCTCGTAGCGATTCGAAAGAAATGTGTGGATTTAATTGGACGCTTCCCCTTTGTGTGGAGGCATATTAGGCTGGGCCATGTTATCCTGGCATAATCCTTGTTAAGTTCTTAATCGATTTGTGTCTGCTGTGAGCACACAGGGTGCGCCTTGGATACGCTATAACTCGCTCATACTGCGCCCTCTTCACCTCAGTGGACTTGACTCAATTACGATTACGACACCGCAACGCAAAGGGCAAAGAGCAGTTGGTGGCTGCGGGTCGGCAACAAGGGGGCGGGCACCTTGAATTTCTCGCTCGATTCCCAATGACGTTGCGATATTTTCATAAATTATTTAAAGTATGTCAATATTTGTTTCGGTTGTTGTTGATGCCAATGATGATGACGAGGCCGTTGATGAAAGGACGAACAGCAAGGACAGCCACAGGCAGAGCTAAGGCTACAGCAACAGGATATACGCATTTGGGGCTTCTTTATTGAACTTTAAATTAGTTTTATTTGGCCATCGCCCGCGTTCCCCCAAAAACAAACAACAAACTTAATTGTAAATGACAGCGAAATAAGATGAGAGGCAAACAATAACAAAACACACAAAATATAAAACACACACACACACACACAACGAAAAATAATAAAAGTTACAAAATGGCGTTGCAATTTGTATAATAAGTCCTGTGCCCCCAACGACGAGACCTGCAAAATGATAGCAGCCAGCGCGTTAAATATAATGAAATAAGCTCATTAAAATGATGAGCCCTGAGCAGGTGGCGGTGCGCAGAGATCACAGGGTATACACGAGCTGGCAGGCTGCGATTTAGAGATGTGCGTAAATGCAAAAAAGCGAAAGAGCAAAAATGAAAACGACTTACTTTGGCTTAGCACGACTAAAGTCTGCTCAAGACGGCTTTTTGTTATATTGCCGAGTATCTTGCGATTTAAGATAACCATTTTATTGTTCTGTTAAGCTTCAGCTGTGAGTCTTAATTCTTCTCAATGAAGGTACAAATATTCTCTGGCTTAATGCTTTCCGTCTGATGCTTATTTTGCAATCCCAGCTAAAATTATTATTTTACTACTTTCAAATCGCTTGGACTACCCAGTTTTCTAGAATTTAAATGATAAACGATACTTAATCCACTTAAGTAATTTCTCTGTGTGCTTATTTTGATCTTAAATATCTATACTTCTCACATCCAATTAGTTGTTGCAGCTGCTGAATTCAGTGGATTCGTGCACAATCCCGTGTCCATCTCTAGCTGTGATTGCCTGCTTTATGGTTGCCATGCCATTTGGCTGCCCATTTGCTTCATCAATCAGCCGAGGACTGCGTCCTGAGGCTGGCGCAGTGTCAACTTTAAGTTAATTATGAAAGTTTTGCGCTTGATTGATTCTCGCACGCATTGCCAACAAATCGGAGAGAGAGAGAGAGAGAGAGAGAGAGAGCCAAGTCGAGTGACACTTAGAAATCAGAAAAAGATTCACTCGCTGATGCACTGAAGCGTGTAATCCGGTCATGTTGCTGCCCCGCGGCTGACTGTGATTGACATCGGGCACTTAACGCATTTTTCTGTCGCCCCCCAAAAGTAGACACCAGCTCCAGCCAACACGCCCCCATCAGCACATTTCGCTGCCTACTTGTTGTGTGTGCGCCCTGCGGCCGCTGCTAATGAGCCGCAAGTGCGCAACAGCTGAGCAGCAGTCGCATTAGTTGTCAGCATGTGAATTCGTATCTGCCAGTGTTGCCAACTGTTGCGAATTTGAGCCTGCTGAGCTAATTCTTATTGCTTGACGCCTTGCAATTCTCAACCAGTTTAAGTTTGCAAAACGGTCGAAAAGCTTTTTAATAAAAGTTTGCAAATGATGTAAGCTGTTGTTTCTTAAAAGAACTTTTTTATATTGGCTATTATTAACAGGATTTTATACTGAAACTGTGATCCTTTATTTCTTTAGCCGTGTGGTTCTATAGGTTCTATTAGCCATCAAACTGCCCACCCAAATTAAAACACCAAGTTGAAAAATTGTGTGGCTTTGTCCTTTATAATGCTTATATAGTTTGTGTATGACAGAGACAGATACATATACAGAGACAGAGACAGATCACAATAGTAAAAAATTGCATTTCATCTCCATGTTTAGTTTGGCTCGAAAATTTTCTTTTCGTATCTTTGTGCAGACTCAGCTTTGTGACATCAGCACATTTCCTTCAATTTATTTTGGTTCCGCCATATTTCGTTTTTGATTTCATTAAACACTATGCAACAAATTCGTTGAAAGTTATGCAGCTTAAGCACTTTGGAAATTGACAGTAAACTGCGCTACGAAAAAAATAGTATATCAGAGTTTTTGGTAATTGCATAATTTAGATTAAGTTATGCAAGTTGTCAATAGTTTTACTTGTTGCATAGTGTGCAGTGGAAAAATATATATGTATATACAGTTATGCCTTTGGCTGAGGCCGGATGGGCAGCGAGAAGCGAATAGAGAAGCGCAGCTTGATTTTAGTTGCGCAAAGCGACTTGTGAGCCAAACGATTTGGCTGAAAAAGTACTCTTAAAATCAATTTCAATTGCGATAAAAATTGTACTTGTTGCTACGCTCCTGCCTTTGTTCTCCTGCGCTAAGCTGATTAAAGGATAAGAACTGAAGGAAGCAATTAAAGTAGCATATAACTTTTTTTTTTGTTATTTTGAATGATTTAATATTGTGCTGGGCGCAGCGAGTTTTATTGCTTTTCAAGCAGAAAAGTAGAGTTTACTTCTTATCGCGCTTCTCCCTTCTATAAATTGATTTCCACGTGCCTTGCCCAACTTTTTGAGATGCCCTTTTTTACGTTACACTTTTCTTTCTAAAGCGTTCCTTTCACTGCGCCTCGACACCCTCTTTTGCTTCTCTTCACTTCTTCATTCTGCGCTACGCTTCTCGCTGCCACTCTGACCTCAGCCTTGAGCCTCTTTCGATAGTTTAATTAATTGAATGCTTAGATAAATGTTTAAATGTTGTTTTCAGTTTTACACAAATACATATTATATATGTACATATATTGTAAGAGTACACAATAAATTCGGTGGGCATTTAGTTAGCTTTGATTTGAATTTATACTTAGCGAGAGAGTTTTTCTTTTTGCGTAAATCAAATTTAAAGCCGCCGCTTGGGACGTCACACGCAGCGTATGCGCGATGCAGATTGCGTATACGCCTTGTTTGTACATATATTTATATGGTATTTTTTGCTCTTTTTTTTTTGTTTGGTTGAGTTTTTAGGTTTTAGCGCTGCTTTTGTGTGTGTTTGTGTTGTTGACGTGGTTTTATTTTGCGCACTTTGCAAACTGCTGCAAATTAAAAGTTGGGCCAAGCGAAACTTTTTATTTTCATATTTTCATTTTCAGCTGCAGTCGAATCAACATTAAAGTTGAGCCAGTGCACTTGTGTGTGTGTGTGTGTGTGTGCTTGTGTGTGTTTGTGTGTGTTTGTGTGATTGTCTGCCAAATGATAAAGTGCACTTGAGAAAGCTGTGAGTGAAGGTTAAACAAAGCCAAAGTCCCGGCTAGTCCTGTGGCAAGCAAGCAGCTGCTCGTTAGTTCCATATACAATGTGCGAATACGAAATAATTTAAATGTGTGTGCGTGTGTCTATGTGTGTGTGATAGTTAAAGTACCTACAAGTAGAACTCTGACTTACGTATATATATATATATATTTATATTTAAGCGCACGAGTTAAGAGGATAGAAAGACAGCAGGCAGCCGCAGTGTAAATATTTTTCTTAAACATTTCGCATTAGATATTCTAAAAGAGAGTTACATAAATATATGTATGTATATATAGATATATATATATATATATAGAGTTTTTCCATTTGTTTTTTTGTTTTTTTACTAAATTCAGTAACATTTTAGGCTTAGTTAATAAACAACAGTCAACATTTAACAGTCATTCCGATATGAGTTTCATTTGCATTTGTATTTTGTTTGCTTGGAAGAGATTTCATTTTGTATGTGTGTGTGTGTGTGTGTGTTTTGGTAGCTTACCAAGTTTCAAGTAAATTTTGATAAGGTTGGCGCTCATTTTGAAAATATACATATATAATTATATGTCTTAAGCTTGTCGTCTAAGTACTCAAAGGAGCTTTAATCATAAATATACAGTTTAGTTAAACACACACCTAACAATGTAAATTTTCTTAAAACACATTCATATTAGTACTTAAATATTTCTGCCGGATTATACTTGAAGCATGTTTTCGTTTTTTGTTTTCGCTTTAAGAAAAAAAATTGACAGTACATTATTGAATTAAACATTTTTGTCTTGCTTTGGAACACATAGAAATATACAATTATATTTAATTATATTGTATGTATATGTGTGCGAGATCTAACAATACTTCCCACCAGAGCCCATCTTGCAAAATAGTTAATGCCACGCGTCGCGTCTGCTGCTCGCTGTTATCAGCTCTGGCACCAAAAAGTAGGTGCGCTCGGGGCTATGCCAAGGCCAGACGCTCGAACTGGCGATAACTGCTGCCTGCTGCTGTCTGGGTCTAACTGGCAAGCCAATCAAAACATCCGCTATAAACAAAACGCTACAATCGCCAAATCGGGGGCCTGACCGCACCAGCCAAATGCCACTGACTGGGGCGTTATACCGTCTGTGATAATTTTTTAAAGGTATCAAATATCGACATTGTACCCCAATCTGTTTAAGCCTAACCTAGTTGCCTTTTAGGTCATGTCCCTGTCAAAATTCATGTCAGTTGCCCATGGATCCAACATAACAGTAATAAGAGTCAATTTAAGTTGACTAGAAGTGAATCTAGATTCTGAGCGTGGATGTTTTAGCGACCTTCTACACATGCCTATGTCGAAGTTCATCTAAATGACCTGTAAGCTAACCGAGCTTAAAGCGAACTCATCTAATACCTATCTAACTCTTGCCAAGGTCACATCAGTAGTTATTCCAATTTCTTAACCAAGCTTATTTAAGTCAATTTCCCACATTTCTCTGCTAAGTTCTTGTCAGTTGACCAGAAGCTAGGCGAGCTTAAGACCAGCTCATTAACAGTCAATTTGACGTACAAAGTACAAAGTCCATGTTAGTTGACAAGTTAACTTCAATTTCTAAAATGAGCTTAGTTGACATACGTTAACATATTATCCTGTCAAAGTTCAGGTCAGTTGACCAAAAGCTTGCCACAAATTTACGCAAATTTTCTCATGCATTTTCTTTATACATCATTTTTCCGTCACATGTTTCCGTCCATGTAAGCTGTTTAAAAATAAAAGCAGCTTAACTTCCGTTAGCAGTTATCTCAGAATTTCAATTAGGCTTAACCTGAATTAAGTTTCACATTTTCCGTCCAATGTAAATGCTTGTTGTTAATCCCAGCCCATAAATCAATTAACAGCAAGCTGAGAAAACTGAATCTATTTTGAGAATATGCCAAAGTAATCGTCAACTTTGACAAGCACATGAGAATCGAGCCTAAATATTATGGCAAATATTACCAATTGTCTGCAACATGATTTATAACATTCTGTGCTCAACACCTGTTCGCAACTTTAACACACAACCCGCACATATACATACATATACTATAGGTCTATATTGTACACAAATTGGCTGTAACATATTTTGTTTTTCTTGTCTCAACATTCATAATAATTTGTATATGTTTATAATACTCGTAAAAACGCCTTTAAAAAGAGAACATCAAAACATGCAAGCTGAGCATTGGCTATATAATACGAATATATATGTTTATATGGTTTATATGGTATATGGGTTTTATGGGGAGCTTGTATACATATATATTTTTATGTATACTTTTACATTTTTAAATGCTAGCAAAATAATTTTTTGTTTAGCTCTGTTTATTATTATTAATTTATTTAATTTTTTTCGGCTATTGTTTTTTTGCGCCTGCTTGTTTGGGGTAATTTTCTGTTTCAAATTTTCCAAGTTTTTTATAGCACATGAAGATTTTCACAGCTTTTGGATTTGGAAATGTCGCTAAGGCAAATTTTTTGTAGTATTTCCTTGGCCAGATGCAGCGAAATGTGAGTGCGTGAGGTTTTCATCTTCGATGAGGTAGCTTTCTTCTCGCGCGTCTCCTTTAGCCGCATCTGCAAATGTAATATGAGTATCGAAAAATTGTAGCCCCTCGCTCGATGGCCCAGTTTTAATAATATTAACGTGTCCGTCTAGCCGGCTCGACTCAATTTTCATTAATTAGTGAACCGATGCGAAAGGCTGTACCACTTAATCACTAAAGCAACACCCGAACGCCATTCGCTCTGCCGCTCACCGCAAATCCATTTAAGTTATTTCCTGCACAATTTTCGCATGCATCAATGAGTTGCGTGTATTTCGCACCTAAACCGGAATAACCGCAAAGCCGATCCCACCCTGAACTGAGGCTCCAATCCGACCCCCTCTGCGCTTACCTGCTTCAGTATGCCGACGAGCAGCTCATCGACATTGTGCTGTATGCCGCTGGACGTCTCAATAAATTTGGCATCGCGTGAGGCGGCCAATGTTTTGCCCTCTGTGGCCAAAAGTGAAACATGAAATATGAAATGAGAAATGAGAAATGAGAAATCATAATTAAGTCGTGGGATTTCCGTTACAGTCCTGCCTAGGCTCACCCTACTTGCTAGAGATGGTTGCTTGTTTATTGGAGTTGTTGGTGTTCAACAATATTTAGCACGAATTGAACTAGTGCTTAAACGAAATATGATCAAATATTTACCTGCTTAAAAACTCTTGTTTAATCTGTTCATACTCCTCCAATGCTCTCAAATACTTACAAGTACTTGAAATATAGTATTAAACAGTCTTCAATACTCATAGTCTTTATACTTACGATATTCATCATTATTTATATCTACTCTTAAATATATGCTATACTTTTTACTTATCGTCAATACTCATGAGTATTGAAGAAACTTATCAGTACTCATTAATATCCATCAGCTCGCATGAGTATACTTCACTTCATTCCATTGTGTCGTGTTTAATCGTATCGTTTGCCATCTCTATTTACAATCCGCCTAAACCCAATAACTCACCTTGTGTCGTGATAAGCCGCGCACGAGCCAGGTCCGCCTTGTTGCCCACAAGTATGACGGCCTTATCCTTGGTGTAATTCTCCTGCCATAAATAGTTGATAATCTCCTCGGCAATGCGAAAGGAGCCCTTGTCCACCACAGAGAAGACCACCACGCAGCCATGCGGCTCATAGGTGGACAGGGAATTTTCCACGCTCATCTCAACGCTGGGATGATCGATAAATACCATGTCGGACTCCTCATCATCGAGCAGAACGCTGACCGTCTTCTCGCCGAACTCATCGTCTAAAACTCAGATCAGAATTAAACTCTATAGACGCAAGCGGAAACCAGCGGCATGGGATCAACTGTGGATCATACGACACGCATAGGTTCCATCTAAGGGTATCAATAACTACTCACTCTGTGCACTCCGCCCCGATCAGCTCGACAGATGGCTAGACCGTCAAGAGTTATCAACTTACCTAGGCTTGCATCGTAGGTGTGCATATATTCCGAGGTCATGAATTGATTGACCAGCGCCGTTTTGCCCACGCCCGCATCGCCCAGCATAACGACACGATAGCGTGCCGGCGGGGGCGGTTCCATATTCTCCGATTCATCCGGCGAGGCGGGCAGCGAGTCCACGTTCGCATAGCCCGCACCACAGCAGCTGCCCTCAAACGGCGAACGTTCGCTGGCCCGACTATTGGTGGAATTGACGCTTGTGTTGCTGCGCGAACGTCGCGAAATTATCGAGTCTCCACAATTGACCACATTGCCTTTGCTAATGGAGAAGTGGCGCAGCCGATAGAGATCATCGCTGGCCCGTGGATTGTACGGACGCTCCGGCAGCGAGCATACGCGCGGACGTACATGATCGGGAACTAGTTGAGGGATTAAATTAGATTCTTATTATATATACAATTGTTATCCTGTTGATTGACTGATTGACTGAATGAATATAAGAACTAGTTAGCTGTATCTGTTACTCTGCTTGACTTTTGTGAGTTAAGTGCACACTTTGAAATATTCCTTCTGCAGGGATGAACAATGGGTCAAAGTATTTATATATACGTTTTTGTTTTTTATCCGAACACCATAAACTTATTTTATGAATATTCATTGGATAAGTAACCTTCCGATCGTTTTCAACTGACACAAAGCTAAATACGTTTTCATCTGTTTTCGCAAATTCACCCCTCCTATCGGCAAATACGAGGAAAAGCTCGACTTTTCAAAGATCTTTGTTGTTACTTTGTGGAACAGCCACTGAATGCAATTGAGTTAATAAATTTGAATTATTTCACGGCCAGAAATTGGATGAACTAGTAAAACACTTGACCCTGACAAAGCTGAATAATTCCGGTACTTAAAGACGCTTTACTCACCTGGAAGCTCCAAAAAGTTGGAGGTGCGTCGCTGTCGTCCGCGATTGGAGCTTTGGAAGGCCAACGGTCCGATGTCATCGTTGGAGAATATGGAAGCATTCGAGCAGGCGCTCTTCATGGACTCGCGTGAGCTGCGCCGACTGGCCAAGTAGGCAAGTCCACCCTTAGAGCTGCCCCTGCGCCGCGGCTTGTACTCGACCGCATCACGCTTGGGCTTAGACGGCTTACAGCCGCTGAGCTCATGCTCGGCATCCTGGGTCAGGTCACTTGTAGATTTGCGATAGCGCAGCGAGACAACACTATCCGAGCAGGTGCGATCCAAGGTGGAGTGAGAGCTGTGCAGCACCTGATATCCTGGATTCGAGGTGATGTTAATGGCATGACGTCTTTGGCGATGCAGCTGATGCTGCTGCTGGTGCTGTTGCTGTTGGCCGCCGACATCCGTGTCCGTGTAGCTGAAGCTGGTGGTGGTAGTGGTCACCAGCGTGCTGTTCGTGTGCTGTGTCTGGCTCTCACCCGACTCCATCGACAGCTGTGTGCACTCTGTGACGCACGAGTCCCGCTTCAGGGTGAAGTAACTGCCGCTGTTGCCGCCGCTGGAGTAGCCCGTGGATATGCCCGCTGCTGCTGCCGCTGCCGTTGCGTTCAGGCAACGTGCATCGATTTTGGTTATGACCGGCAGCTCCCATTCATCCCGGCGCCGCTTGCTACTGCCTTGACTGGTGGTCAACTGCGGCCGCTGCTCCAGCTGCTGAGGCTGTGCTCGCATTAGCTTCTTGGAGCCCTGACGACGCGGCGAGCTGGGCGGCTCATAGTACAGCGAACCATCATCCGGCGATATGGGCTCATAATACTCGAATTTCTTGCCCAATGCCGACTGATCCATGCCAGCGCCTGGACTGACTGCATCGAAAACAAATTTGCACGGCGATTTGGGACTGCGCGTCGCTTGGCCGCTGAGCAGCGAACAGGAATCATCCATGGAGCCCGAGGTGGGCGTTTGATAGTATGAGGAGGGCGTGGAGCTGCTTCCCTCATCGCAGCTGTCATTCGCATAGGTTGTCGTTATCTTCGGGCTGCGCGGCGGCGGCCCATCATAGCTGCCGTAGGCATAGTTGCTACTTGACTGTGTGGGCGTGGCATAAACCGAGGGCGGCGCCGCATGGTAGCTTCTGTGTGGCAAGTCCAGTGTTAAATTGTTGCTACAACATCTGCTTCGAACTGCTCGACTCACCTGGGCGATTTTGGCGTGGCGCCTTTATACGGCAACGGATTGCTGGCCGCACGCGCTGGCGTCTTGTGTCCACCATGTGTATGTGTATGTGTATGTGTATGTGTTGGTGTATGTCCATGAACGCCATAGCCCGTGCCGGCGGCAGAGGCATCGCCGCCATCCCAGCTATGCTGCTGCTGTGCCATATTTACCAAATGCTGGCGAGGATTGGGCGTGGTTTTGCGAGTGTAGATTTACTGCGGCAGCTGCTGTAAGTTGAATGCCACTCATGTGTAAATATCATGGGCCATTACTCAACACACACACACACACACATGCACACACACACACACGCAGTGGGCAAACATAATTTATGGTTTTATCTTTATTTAATAAAATAATGCAAACTAAAATAAAAACCAAAACTCATAAAACGGCTCCACTGAGTGCCACATCACCCCCACCCCCTCCCTCTTCCCAACTCCAATTGCTGTACACATTTTCAACATTAAATGCCTCACAGGCAGCGCAGGCGTATGTGTGTGCGTGTGTTTCGTGTGTCAGCAAATTGTTGTGAAATGTGCGTTCATCTCACTTTAAGTTGACAGCCCAAGTGGCCGTGGCCCCCGACCACAACGAGCCAAGCCCGCCCTCTTTTCTCCTCACCACCCAACTACCAGGCCCTCTTGCGGCCTGTATTGGTGGCCTGTATTAAGCCAAAGCGTTCGCGCTGCAAGCTTCCCAGCCATGTTGCATGCAACAGTTTCTCTTGCTGTGCGTTAAAAATTAATGCCCGTTATATCCTGTAGCACATTGTAAATGGGTTAAATGGGGTATATTATTGTTGTGCATCTACGAATATAAATATGCTTGATATGCACACATGCACAAGTCCATAGATATCACTTCAGTATTTCATTAAAATCGATAAATATCGAGTTTTCAGAATTGATTTATTGATTGCATTGCTTTGATACCCTTCCAGGGCATGTGCTAGTTGAGCGCACACGACTAGAGCACTCTTAGTTGCTGTTTTACTTGCTTTGGCTTCGCAATTTGCCAACTCACAACAGACCGCACACACCTACTCACACACACACACACACACACACACATGCTGGCACACACAGACACGCTGTCACACACACCTGCCACACTCAACTTATTGTATTGGCTACAAAAGATTTGTTCGAGAAGTTTTCTCAAGCACTTTGCAGCAGTTGCTTAACTTGAGCAGAGTCTGCGACTGACTCGAACTCGGCTGCGTCTGCTGCTCTTGCCACTGACTCAGGTGTAATAAGTTGCCCAGTTTCTTGCGGCATTACCTGGGAAAGTGTTGAGCATTTTGCAGTATTACTGAAAGTGCTGGGGAGAGTAGCTGTCAACTGATTTTGTTTTGATTGTAGCACCAAAACGCCCATACAAGCTATTTGTACTATAGTTTTATGACTGTCTGCTCCCCGTGGTCAATAAAAGCCGGACTGAATGCTTAAGCGTAGAGGGATTTACCGAAAGGTACCCTGTAATTAGTTTTCAAGCTGCTTTAGTCTATTATTGAGTTTGAGACGAAATGCAAGAGCTTGCTCAACCTTTTGCATCAGATCATGTAAAGGGACAGTCGAGTGGCTTCTACAGCTAATCCTGAATACATAGGACTGTTTTGCTAGACAACTCTCTTATACCTCGTTTTACTAATTACGCTGTTTCAGCGTATGAACGAGAAAAATAATAATAATATTTATCCTGGCATCAAATTGCCCCGTCACTTACATGAAGAAATCTAGTGTCTCATTTTATTGTCCAGCTCTAGTTCCAGCTGCTGTCCGCATGGCTCGTTACGTGAATCCCAACTGTTGCCATTCTCGTTTTTCGCATTGCTTCTGCAGCCACCTGACCCCCTCGCTGAAACTAACTTATCTATTGTCTGTGCCTCACACAAATAGCCGAACACCCACTCACTCGCCGCAGACACAGAACCGTGAACACAAAGCGTGAATACGTGTTCATATTGTAAAGCAAATAATATGAATGTGAATACGAATACGAATACACTGAATACATATGTACGTACAAATGAGTATTTATATGGTACCTGTTGGTGCTTATACAGACCTAATATGGTTTCCACTGGGAGTATATTACGCTTGGAATAGTTTTGCCATGTTTACGTTGTGCGAGATTAAATGCGAGAAGCATGACAGACATATAAAACTGGGCTTAAATCTATTAAAGTTGCCAAAACGTTGCTGTTAACTTTCCTATTAGTTTTCTCTCTAGGCAGTAGGTTGTTTCTGCGTTTTTCTTGAATGTCAAAGTTGAACAAAGTTTCGGCCTATTACATTCTCGATTTATCTATGTTTGTTTTTGTTTAAGCCTACACAAATATATTTTTTCTGAAATTTAAAGTATTGAATTTATTATCGTATTAAATTATTTTCCTTACCCAAAAGGTAAGCAACAGGTTCGTACTACGCCGACCTGGATGAGCAAGCTTTTGGACCCAATTACAGGGTATTTCGCAATAATTTTCTGCGTTTTGTCAATCGTTAGCTTGTGAAACACGTAACCTGGCCTGTTGCCACAGCAACCAATCATAACCAGATAGACAGAAAGGAACAGGTGGAAAGCAGTAGGAGGGTCAGCACTGTCACATAGATGGAATAATCATGAAAATGTTGAATAGAAAACAGTTCAGATTCGTTCAAGGCCAGCCAAACGCATGGACACAACACTTTTGGCTGTGCAAAATTCTGTGGACAGCCAACAGCAAATCAATGGGATAAAAACCATCCCAACTAAGCAGCTTCAGCTTTCAACTGTCTGCCAATAAAGCCGTGTGTCAACTCACATTCAGCTGGTCTTCATTTTGGGTTTCTATTGGCATTATTTGTATTGTATATGCATGAATGATAAATCTATGCCCAACCCCAACCAGTAGCTATTTCGCACAAAAGCTTCGGTTGTGGCTTATGGCATTGTATTTTATGCATTGAATTTGAAAGAATTTTAACTAGAAAAGGCAGCAGTTGGGTTTTTCAAGATGTAAAAGCTTATGTGCGACAATAAACTTAATATTTAACTGTAAAAGCTAATTCGCTCAATCAATTGGTCTATCAGTCAATCAGTCAGTCAGATTGCCTTTGATGCTTGAAAGACAAAGTTGGAGTTAAATAATTGATGAAATGTCAAGTTAAGCAACAAATCGGTGTAAGCCACAAACTTTAAAAGGTTATAAAAGGTTATAAAGCTGCCCTATAGTGCCTTGAATACAGTAGTACTTCCTTACGATGAACTTGTTGCTTAAAGAAATCTTGCACCTTATAAAAACTAGCTTAGAAAAAAACTTAAAGCTGTTTTACTATGCAACCAATTTATGCAGACTTACATCTCTATAGTGAACTAAATGACCAAATGAAGGCTTTAAAAACATTTGGTCATTTCAAAATGTTTTCCGTGAAACTTTAAAATTACAAACTTGAAACATTTTGTAAAAGACTCTTGAAGAGTTCCAACGATTTTTTATGATAAAAAGAGGCAGGCAACAGCAAAAAGTTTCAAAACATCCCTAAAGTCCATTTAAGAGGCTTCAACAATTTTCTGTGATAAAAAAAAATGTAATAGGAAAAGCTCTCAAAGTTCCATTCAATGAAAAAAAAAGTAGTTATGCAGGGCTAAAAACGTTTTTTATTATTTACATTTAACAATCTAGTGAGAAAAAAATTTGTGCTTCGGCATTTGGTAGCAATGTTTTTTTCTAAGAAAAAAAAAATGAATTTAAACAATTTGTGTAGCACTGTTTCGTAGAAATTTATGAAATCTATTTAAATACTATGAGCTTTTTCCGATGAAGTGATGTTCAAGGACATAATCAAATGATTTATGTAGAGCAGAAGAAATGCTAATACAAACCTGCCTGAACATTCAACTATGGAAACGCAAACCGCTTTTACAATTACCCAGTTCTTACAGATAGGTTTGTCGTAATGTAGTTCGACTGTATTAGGATGTTATGCACACATTCGATCCAAATAACCTGAGGGTCAAACCGAATGAAACTGATTTGATTTAGCGTACGATTTGTGTGGGTAGAAAAGGAACCCGCAAAAAAACGGGTGAGCACGAAAAGGATTTGCATATTTGAAAGACTCGACTGAATTGACAATGTAATTTGTGTGAGTATTACGCGTGCGAAATGAAATAGTTGGCTAGCAGTCATCAAAAAAAGTTCAAATGTCTGTGAACTCTAGCGCAAACTTTGCGTCTGCTGCCTTATGAGTGTCGGGTCCCACATCCCTGTTAACATTCTGGGGTGTAATGAACTCAAGTGAATTTCTTGCAGCTATTAAATTGTGGTTAGGCATACACTCAGAGAAAATAAGGGAATAATATAAATTTAAACTGAAGCTGAAGCTATAAACAAGTTCTACATTTCTTGAGAAAATGCCCTTATGTAAGGCTCAGATACAGTATTTAGCCTAAGTGAAATGTTGATTTAAAGCTTATTTCAAGTCTGCAAATTCCGCTACACTGTCTATTCCACATTAAAAGCAATACTCAGAGAGTCTATTGAAGCCATTTCTTACTTTAATTAAGAACGTTTTATTCTTACTTCTTAAGGTTATTTTAAAGATATCATACTTTAAATCCAAACTAAGAAAAAGTCTGCTTAAGACCTGTAGATAAAAACGATATGATATATTATTTCTCTGAGTGCATAGCCTCCACTTTAGCTCACACTTTAGCTGGTATTTTGTGGTCTTTCCTGGACAACCCTTTTAGTAAACTTTGCTTAATTACATGCTCGCACCCGTTAAGCACATATTTAACACCCCCACACACACACACACTCACACATTAAGCAAACGTAAATATTTTCTCAGCAGCCACACAATGCTGTTGCTGCTGCTGCTGGCCCCCCTTAACACACGCCTCTGCACCTAATGCCAAGCTCTGACCAGCACTTGGCTACAGAATTAGCGTTTGTTGTAAAAATAAATGCGTATGCATGTCAGTGTGCTAGTGTGTGTGTGTGTGTGTGTGTGTGTGTGTGTGTGTGTGTGTGTGTGTGTGTGTGTGATAGTGTATGTCTGTCTGTGTGTGCGAAGTGTATGGCCAAAGCATAAACAAGGAAAGTCCATAAAACACTTAGGATCAAACAATATACCAGAGATGTCAGGAAACTGTAGCCTATTTAGCGGCGCCCTGTGCGGTTTGCTTAGCGGTTGAGGCGGTCTCTGGTCAGCTGCTCGGTTCAAATTAGAATTGTGGGCCAAAAGTCACGTTCAGAAACTTAGTTATTAGAGCAGCCCTCATGCCGCCGGCTCGTCGCCCTTAGCTGTCCCCCCGGCGTAGGCAATCGATTTTATTGCCACACATAATTCTTGGCGCGCGCCATTTGCGCAAATCTCATGTTGATGGCATATTAAGTGGGGAGCAGTTCCTTTCGGCGGCCAATTTGCTTTTAAATGCGTCATTTACGGACTGCCAAGGGAGTGCTATGGGGAGGGGGGGGGGTGGGGGGGGGGGGGGGGTGGTTGTCAGTGACAGGTGGGCAACGTTTTGTGGCAATTTACGTGTAATTAGACGCGTCTGGCGTCAAAGTTGGGCGCGAGGATTAGCAATTAAGCGAGTGTCCTGTGTGCGCGGCATAAGCGCAACAAGTGCCAACAGGCACAACACGCATAATCCCAGCGTAAAACACACCTCCACACACACAGACACACAGATAGACAGACATACATACACAGACACACACACAGAGAGGCAGATGAAGCGCGCGTGTATTGGTGAGAGGCAGCGCATAAATCAACATGTCAAATCGCAGCTTAGCAGCATTCACACTCACACTCACACTCACACACACACCCACGCATACAGCTCACATAACTGTACAACTGTTGACTTTAATTTTTACCATTTAAAAAACAATGAATTTTCTCTTATTTTCATTAAATTTCTGCAAACACCGCTTGTTCTTAATTTCCCGAATATATTTTTTTAATTGTCTCAATTGCGTTGCGACACTCGGAAAACCACGCGTTTAGCCGAGCAACAGTTTGCACAGTTTTTGTTGTTTTGTTGTTGTTGTTGTTGTTGTTGCTGCTGCTGTTGCCTGCTGCGCTGCACTTCCGTTTCCGCTTGAACGCGCGCTGCAACTGGTGCCGCTTGCTGGCTGCCGGAAAATATGGCCCGACCGAGCGCGCACGCTGCTCGAGCTGAACTGTGGCATGCCACGCGCCTCGGCTGCATTTTTGTTGCTGGCCAAATGAAGCTTTCGCTCAGCCGCAACCACAACACAAATAAAGCTCACTTCCAGCCTGGAAGTCCTTCACTTGTTGAGAGCACTTTTCAAAAATTCTGTTTTCGTTTTTTGCCTTTGGTTTGTGGTTCAAAGTATTGCTTAATATTATGTAAATATATTAAAGCATACCTTTTCGCGCACATCTGATTTTATATTTTTAATCAAAGAGCTTGCTCTTCTATCACTAATTAGCCTTAATAATGGCTTTATGTAGTTTGGCTTTAGGGAATATGACTTTTTTTTTTTGTGGTTAAGTCTTTGGTTGGTAAATTTGGCTGCTTCTTTTACTTTCTTTTATGTAATTAATCGGCTGTTACTTATTTGTCTAGTTAAGAACTTTTTAAGTAAAGTATTTTACGTAGTTTAAATTAAATGATTGCAAATTCATATAATTTGTATTACCTTTTCTTTTTGTTTTGAATTTTATCTGCCTACTATCTGCTCAAATTTCTGAAGCATTAGAGTTCACTTTTGTTTTGCTTTAAAGGTGTTTTTTAAGAATGCCAATTATTGTTTTTTGTTGCAAGTTTTTTTTAGAATCAATGTAAAAGTGTTTGCAGTCTACTTAAAATTAATTAGATAATTTAAAAAAAACATAAGCCCATAAATAAAATACAATTATAAAAACTATAATTATTAAGACAATTGCTTCTACCTTTTTTTACAAAAAATAAATAATTTGAAAAACAGTATAAAACACAAAAGTTTAGTAAGAAATATATATATAATTTTTTCTTTTTTCCCTTGAACTCATTTTTGGTTTCTTATGTGAACATAAATTCTTGGGGGAACTGAAGTGAACTTTTTTTAAAATCATTTTTGTTTTGTAGCAAAATATCTAAATTCCATTGATTGTAGCTGATTGACAGATTAATGCTCTATGATCATAGTCCAAACTGTAGAACATAGACAACAAAAGTTTTTACAGTAGACATATTTTTTGATATATTTGCCAAAACTTTGATTTGTTTGTTAAAGTATTTCCTTTAAGCTTATTAGCTTATTTGCTTTTCAAAACAGCAGAAAAAGGTATGCGAATATGATTATGATAAAATCTTTTGGTTTTATTAGAATTATATGTTTTTTACTTTTTTGTTTTCTTCATTATTTGTTTTTTCTTTTATACAGATCTTAACTTAAGACTTAAGGCTAAACACTTATATAATAAATAGTTTTGGAAGTCTGCGGCTTAAACTCTAGAGAAACGACTAAGTGAAAAAATAAATTGTTAGCATAGTCTTCGGGTTATATAGAGTATATATGTTGGTTTTTGTGGGCGGGGTTTTAGGTTATATGTTTGCAGGTTTTGTGGGATAGTTTTGCTTAGGTTTATAGGTGGTGCAAGGCGGGTAAAGATGCGTGTTTGTGTGCGTGCGGGTGAAAGATTTGTGATAAATTCTCTGCTGGGCAACTGCATTTACAAGTCGGCAACGAGTCCTTTCAGCTTGTCCAGTTCCGCATAGATGCTGGCGGGCAGATCAGCGCCCACTTGCGTCTCGAAGTAGTTGCGTATAGCCTCTACCTCCTGTGTCCAGAACTCCTTGGGGAGCGAGAACAGCTGCTCCACATCGATCTGCTCCTTCATGCCAGCCAAGTTGAGTTCACCTGCGGCGGGTATGCGACCAATGGCAGACTCCACGTAACAGGGCTCACCATTGACACGGCGCAGGATCCAGTCAAGCACACGAGAGTTCTCTCCATATCCGGGCCACATGAATTTGCCAGCATCGCTCTTGCGGAACCAGTTGACATGGAAGATTTTGGGCACCTGGCCGCGTTTCTCCATGCTCAGCCAATGGGCCACATAGTCGCCAAAGTTGTAGCCGAAGAAGGGACGCATTGCGAAGGGATCGTGCATGATCACCTTGCCCTTGTGCTCAGCCGCGGCTGTCGATTCACTGCGCATAGCGGCGCCAATGAAGACACCATGTGTCCAGTCGCGAGCCTCATAAATCAAGGGCACGCCAGCTGGGCGACGACCGCCAAAGAGCATGGCAGAGATGGGCACGCCAGCTGGATCCTCCCAGGCGCCATCGATAATGGGGCACTGGGCGGCCGGTGTGCAGAAGCGGGAGTTAGGATGAGCAGCTGGTTTGCCAGATTCCTTGGTCCAGGGCTTGCCCAACCAATCGGTGATCTGCACATTGGGAGCCAGACTGCTCTCCATGCCCTCCCAGTAGACGCCGCCATCCGAAGTGGAGGCCACATTGGTGAAGATGGTGTTCTTGAAGACGGTGTTCATGGCAATGGGATTGGTCTCCACGGAGGTGCCAGGTGCAACGCCAAAGAAGCCATTCTCGGGATTGATGGCACGCAGCACACCCTGTGAGTCGAACTTCATCCAGGCGATGTCATCGCCCACGCACTCCACCTTGTAGTTAGACAGGGAGGGATTCAACATGGCCAGATTGGTTTTGCCGCAGGCCGAAGGGAAGGCGGCAGTGATGTACTTCTTGACGCCCTTGGGATCGGTGATGCCCAGGATGAGCATGTGCTCGGCCAGCCAGCCCTCCCGCTTGGCAATGGTGCTGCCAATGCGCAGAGCGAAGCACTTCTTGCCCAGCAGCGAGTTGCCACCATAGCCAGAGCCATAAGAGACAATCAGATTCTCGGCGGGCTTATGCAAGATGATGGTGCGCTCGGGATCACAGGGCCAGGAAGGCTGCTCCACTACACCATTGGCTGGTGTGCCCACGGAGTGCAAGGCGCGCACGAACTCCTCCTTCTTGGCTAGCTGCTGGAGCACAGAAGCGCCCATGCGGGTCATGATGCGCATGGAAGCGACCACATAAGCGGAGTCGGTGACCTCAATGCCGATCTTGGAGAGTGGCGAACCCACTGGACCCATGCTGAAGGGTACCACATACATGGTGCGACCCTTCATGCAGCCAGGGAAGCGCTGTTGAATAGCGGCCTCCATGTCCAGAGGGGAAATCCAGTTGCCCAGGGTACCCTTGACACCATCCTTGGGCGTGGGTATGGTCTCCTCGCGTGTCTCGGTGCAGATGAATGTCTTGGACTCCACGCGGGCCACATCACCAGGATTAGTCCTGGCCAGCCAGCAGTTCTCGTACTTGGGCAAGGCCACAATGGTACCCGACTCCAGCAGCGTCTTGATAAGCATCTTGTTCTCCTGCTCGGAGCCATCGCAAATGTGCACCTGATCAGGCTGGCACAGAGCAACTGCTTCCTCTACGAAGCTGCGCACGCCGGCAGTCAAGGAGCTAACATCGCCATACGAGGTGGGAATGCCACGGATGTGGCTGTACAGGCCACAATTATCCTGGCGCAGCTTGTGCAGCTGGGGCAGACCGCAGCCATTGGCGGAACTGTAAGTGGAAAATAAGGAATTTATGAGTGAGTGTTGCGTGAGAAGGCAGTGGGTCAGTGGGTGAGGCGTGAATAAAGTGTTATCTTGGAAGGTGGAAAAAAAAGAAAGAGCTAGAATTGAGTTTTATAAAGAGTTGAGATGTTAGATGGAGATTTCGTGCACAGTAAGTTAAAAAGATCGGTAAATTGCTTTTCCCAATTTAACACTAAAAGTTATTCAAAATATTTAGTCAACAACATTTTGAACCGTTCGCGGATAAATTAAAATTTTTAAAGACCACAAAAAATGTAGTAAATTCTTTTGCTTTTAATTTTTTGTATAAACATGTTTCTTATAATTCTTTGTAAGGAAATGATTCAGAAAATTTGACGGTAAAACAAATAAGCTTTAGTCATTTAATTTATATATTTTTATCATAATATGCACAAAACATATTTTTGATATTTGTTTAGCTCTTTTTTTGCACATCAAAATAGTTCAAAGAATTCAGTCTTGTTAGTATGAAAAGTTTGTGTTTTGTTAAAAATACTTTCTGGGGCATGCAACATCTAGAGGTTTCTGGGTGTGGTGATGTATACATATGTGTGTTTGGATTTCTTTTCTTGCTTCTCGTACAACTCGTACTTACATAATTTTGCTTTGTTCAATGAGCTCAGGCATTTTGTTGTTGTTGTTTTTTTTTTTATATTAATAATAAGAAATTTATTTTCTTTCAAAGACTTTGGAATATGGCGCACAAATAAACTTTTGATTTTGCGTTTAGATTTGGCAAAAAACAATGAAATTTGTCAAATATCACAATTTAATTATCACAATTTGTATTATAATTTGTTTTTTTGTTTAGTTTAGTTGGTTGTTGTGTGTGCTTTCATATGTTTCTCCAGAGTTTTTTGTCAAAAATCAATTTGATTTTCAGATCACTGAAATTAAATGTTTCACTTGATCTTTCCATTTACTCAGTCCACGAGTAACTGATGCCAACTGCTCGCTGCAGTCGGCCTTTTATACGCTCCGCGGCAGCGCTGCCGCTGGTGACTGCCCGATGCGACTAGAACATGATTAACGGGGGCCGCACGATCGGCTGGCGTTCGGCTGCGTCTTCGGCTCGACTCGGCTCGGCTGGGCACTTGTTTCGCTTTGTTTTTATGAGAAGCGCGCGCGCGCCTCAGGTCAAACGTCGGACACGCTGATTGGCCGCTCGCCGGGAGGCTCGGCAATTGTTTTGGTTTTTCACAGCGTTTGTCCAGCGCAGGGGAGTTGTGTGTGTGTGAGGGGGGTTATTATTACGGCCGCCGCCGCTTGGCAACAGGCCTTGTTGTCATTGTCGCTGTGGCAAGTTTCAGCTTATTTTTGTTTTTCTTTTTGTTTGTGTTTTTTGTGTCTTTTTTTTTGTATATATAGATTTTATTTGCATTGCCGCTCTTCAATTCATTTTTGCTGTTATTTTGATAGCGCGCCTTTCGCTCGCTTTGATAAGAGTCATTTAGCGCTATTTGTGCTCCACTTGCTGATATTTGTTTTTGCTTTCCTCGCCAGCCACTAATTTAATTATTTTGTTTGGTTATGTTTTCTATTCGATATCGTTCGAGTACGTAAATCGCCTGCAATTGATGTACACCGTTATTAGATATTCTCGATAAGATCTACATACGTCTAATTATCGTAACCTACTCTGCTTTTTTGGGTGTATTGTGTCCTTCCATTCGTTTCGCGATGTGGGCAAACAATTCGCTTGTGTGCACATATCTATTTAATACATAATATATATATAAAGGA